GTAGCTTCTTGAATAAAAGGAACTTACTTGCTCTTGTGGAGCTGAGTACGTTGGCCGTACCATGCGCCGACTTGAAAAACGCGCTCGTGAACACTTTCCAGCCTGGCTAGTAAAAGGAGAACGAAAACGGGTAAATAGTTCGGTGACAGAACATCTGGTGAATTCAGGACATTCAGCGCCACCCGAAAAATCCTTCAAAATCATTTACAAGATTCGATCAAACCCATCAAAGGGAGTAAAATCAAGACATCTGGGCATAGCCGAGGCGCTAGCTATACAAAAGCTCAAACCAACCCTTTGTATACAAAAGAAATACGTCCAACCCCTGTCCTTGCCATGGCCATCATAAACAGGTAATTTTTAGTAATCACCATTCCATCTCCTTTCTTATCTAAACTTCCTGTTTATTCATGTTATTTCAAGTTTTTCTTAATCACTGTTTAAACTACCATATTTTCATACCCGAACTTAGTGTTTATTTTGTCATTTTACTATTTCTACATATTTAATCCCTGATTGCATAAACAGTTATTCATAACATTAGTTTTTTTTATCCAAACATCCTGTCTATTTTGTTATTTCTACATTTCTAACCCCTAATTGCACAACGTCAGTCTTCTTAGTTATTATAATGCTACTTTGTTTGTTTTATCCATCCCCCTGTTTATTATGGCATTCTAATTCCCAATTTTAATTTTTATTAATTTGACCCTTGACCGGATATTATTCTGGAACTTTCCCATCCATTTGATATAAATACACGAATGTACAGCCTAGATGATGACTTCGTCGAAAAAAAAATTTTTTCTTCGCTGCAACTGTCTTCTTATTTACTCCTATAAAAGGAATTCGATAATTTCTCATTGACAATGTAAAACATGTCGCGAAGTTACTCGTCAAGCGGATTAGAATAAAGTATACAAATTCTACCACAGTAACTCTGGGACGTAAACGTCAATAATCACAGAAAGAGTTAGGGATGTTATCACTATATTCGCTTAACGAGCTCCGCGAAGGTCGAGGTTTTTATTATTATTATTATTATATGCATAAGGACTATTCACAGTTATTAAAACATGTATTTCCAGTAAGAGAGATTGGCAGGATAACTGGTTTTTTTAGATGGACTTGGATTTTGGGATAGATTACAAATTAGAATCAGAAGAATAAGTTGGTCACAGGGTTAGAAAATGAGCAAAGTTAGGTGGGCATGCTAGACTGACTGTAGAATAAAACGAAAACACGATGGTGGGGTTAGATGGATACTAGCATTTATAGGAAATGAAATTTAATTCATCTTATCTTGAATCAGTGAAGGAGTATAGGTTTTTGTTTAGCTAAATGTCAGTAAAAATGACAAAAATAACGAAGAAAATAATACAGAATTCAAAGCCTCTGTGGAGTATTGCCGTATAAAAAAGGAACGTCAGACGCCTGACGTAGGATTCTCAGTGTAGCTGAAATGACTACTGATGATTTAGATTCCTTATTGTCGGTGTTGTCGTTATCTTGCGCATGTTTGACATGCATGTCGTCATTATTATTTCTATTATTATTATTATTAACACCATTATTATTATTATCATTAATAATTTTATTTTTACAGTTCCCTACATACTTTCTGACTAATTTAGTGGGATAATTATTACGCTTCAAAGCTTCTCCTCTTCTATGCTTTTCTTCCTGTCTTAGATTTTCCTTGGTATTACTTAGTTTTTGTGCTCTATCACTTAACCATTTCACCAATCCTATTTTTACTGACATATGATGGGATGATCGGAAGTTCAAATATCTGTTTGAATGTGTGGATTACTTGTAAACACTAGTGTTTGAGTTCCCATCTTCTTTCGTTTTTACATTGCAATCTAACATGGGAAGCTCCTCCTACTGACTTTCCAATTCATTAGTGACTTGAATTGCCTCCACCATTGAGTTATAATGTGTTCGAAAAATCTGTGTATATCCAGTGTTTTCAGTACAGTGAATGTGTCATCTACATACGTCCACCATACTTTTGGTGTGGGGCTGAACCTTTCAATCGCTATGTTTTCCCACCTATCCATGAATATGTCTGCCTTAACTGCGGATATTGGTGACCCGATAGTAACTCCCTCAGTCTGCTTGTATATTTTCCCCTGGAATTTAAATACTGTAGAAGTTAGGCATAGCTGTACCCCCCAGCATTATGTCTTCAAGTGGCACTTTCGTTCTAAGTTCAAGTTCTTGGTCAGAAATGTGTCAACCAGATTACTGGGACATAAAACTTTGCTAAACCTAAAATGACTGACTCTTCCAAGTTAAATAACCTCGAAAAACAGCTCAACCATCCCACTGCACTGCATTCACTTGCATGTGATCACACACAGTAGGGTGAGTGGGACAGTGTGGGCGTATTAAAAAGAAATATACTTGGGTGGAGTGAAACAGAGGTTAATCACTGAAGCTTTGTTTATTGATTCAACACCACCCAATAGCAATCGAAAGGGCACAATGCCTCCAATGGAGATATGGAAAGTGACAACAAACAACAAAGAGAAGTTGGGAAGACAAAATGGAGAGTAAAATATGTGTATAAGACAAATTATGAAACTGTGTGATGATTGTGAGCAGTAACATTGTATGCTCGAGACCTTGTCATCCAGTTGTTAGTAGGGCGTCACTCTGTGATTATTAAAGTGGACTTATCTAATATGAAATGCATTATTCTGTAGTCATCTTTTTAACAACTATCAGTGAGAAAAGGTCGACCAAGGTAACTGGTTTAGATGAACTTCTCCAATTTTGGTTCTCTGTCGACTAATTTTTGATATCATTGATTAAGGATGTACTGTTTTCTGAGTTGTGTAATGTTGTCAGAATCTGAGATTAATTGATATGACCGGTAATAGTGTGGTGAGAGCAGGCTGCTAGCCAACTGGTAGACATTAATTTACGTCAATGTCTAGGTCACTAATATTGGCCGTGAGAAAATATGAACAAGGCTGATTCAACAACCAATCACAGCAGACTTAACGTGGGCAAATAAGATTCATAGATAGATGGCTTAACTTTCCGAGAAACCAGTCACCTTGAGCAAGAAACAACCAATCAGAAGACTGTGTTTGTCTGCTTGAATAAGCTATAATAATGTACATGAAATATATATAAATACATGCTGATTTCCGTAATAAAACGATCTGTTTTCGGCCTTTGTCTTCTTTTGTTACAATAGTGATAATAGTGCTGCGAAGATAAGTAATCCCTCTAAAGACCAAACAGCAATACATATTTCCAGCCACACCTAACCCTCAGAACGCAAGCAAACAAAGACTCAGCCGGGTAGAACAACTAAACTTTATTACCTTCGAATTCATTATATCAAAAGTTATTACTGAATTCAATTTTTGATTTTCCCTTCGATTGATTGGACTGAAATGCTCGGTCTCAGGTTGACATGTCGGCTTCTTGTGCAGATGCTTCGACGATGTCTGGGCATTTAGTTAGTATACAATTGGTGGATGGTGGCTAGCAGTGGAATCCACGATAAAGCGCATTTCGTCCTATTTGGGACTCGTCCTCTAGCTGGATGTACCTGCATTTCTCAGTGAGTGATGATGTTCCCACCACTGAGGCTCGAACCCAGTGCCCATAGTTTCAAACGCCAAAGCGTTATCCACTAGACCACTTGGGCCACGAGAGCTGGTCACCTCTTGTGCAACGGGTCATGTTAATTAGTGAATTGGATTTTTTTGATTTTCCCGTCGATTGATTGGACCGAAGTGCTCGGTCTCAGGTTGACATGTCGGCTTCTTGTGCAGATACTTCGGTCCAATCAATCGACGGGAAAATCAAAAAAATCCAATTCACTAATTAACATGACCCGTTGCACAAGAGGTGACCAGCTCTCGTGGCCCAAGTGGTCTAGTAGATAACGCTTTGGCGTTTGAAACTATGGGCACTGGGTTCGAGCCTCAGTGGTGGGAACATCATCACTCACTGAGAAATGCAGGTACATCCAGATGACGAGTCTCAAATAGGACGAAATGCGCTTTATCGTGGATTCCACTGCTAGCCACCATCCACCAATTGTATACAAAAGTTATTACTAACCACAAAATGTTGAGCCAATAAACAGCTAACCTAACCGTTTACACAAGTGCCAGCTGGAGGCTTATCCAATCTCATTAAAAACAAGTATTTTATTTCGGCCTGATGGTTAGAATTTGTCCATACAGGTTTTAGAAGCTTTCACAGTTATTCAAAATTAGGGCCACTTGAGACGATTAGGACTAGATTCGAGTATCGATAAGTGGGGCAAATTACTATCACTTACTGGGGATGCAGGCTTAACCAACTGATGAGTCCTGAAATGAGACGAAACACACAGTCGAAATTCCACTGCAAGCTACCATCGTTCCTAAAGGGTTTTGAAATATCTCCCATTTAGAAATGTATTCAGTTGCCTACACACAAGCTGTGGAGACATTTTGATAGCTTGCTTTCCTTTTTTGTCCTTCACTTAAATTCATTGTTCATGTACTTTCTACGTGGATGAAATAAGAACATAAATAATATTAACATTGGAATGCAAGCGGTATTTTCTTTCGCCTAACGCTGAACTACCTTTAAAAAACAACTTGTATATTAGCTAACTAGGATGACCCTGAAAGTCATGTTGTTTTTACACCCATTATGGTCATAATTTTCAACCTTGAACAATTGAATATCCAAAATGGTGAACTGGCCAACATAAGGAAAGTTGATAAATGAATAATTTTTGTAATACTCACAAAATAATTTGCAGTGATTTTCAAGATATATATATATATATATATTTCCCAATAGTTTAAAATTCGTCAAGGTTACCTTCATTTTGTTTAACTGAACCAATTGTATTTATTCAAAATAAAGAAATGCGCAAATTTAAAATTTTCTTAATTTTTGTTTCCCATTTGATGAATTCTCACATAAACAAAAAAAAAAAACAACAACAATAATAACAACAACAAAATTTTGAATAGGTTGGGGAAAGATGGCATTTACTGGGGCAAATACTTATTTTTGGGTACCTATTGTTGGTCCATATATCGGTGCAGTGATTGGTGCAGTCCTCTATGAGCTGACAATTGGTATTCACCTGGATCGTAGCCCTGATTTTGTTGTTCATGTTGACTATGAGGATACAAGATCGGATAATACAAAATTAATGGCTCGTTCATCTTGATAAGAAAAGAGAAACAAGAACAAATCGAATGCGGTTTTCGCCTCAGAATAAGCATTCTGAATTATTATATATACATATAAAGAGCGATAGAATAACAGCCATTATTCTTATCATTTTGATCATTGTTATCATACGCATACTTTCGCTATTTAATAATCCACAATATTTAAAGAAATAAATAAAATTCTACTAGACTGTGAATTAACATTCTTCATTAAAACCAATAATTAGATAAGACTTTAATAAAATAAAATCGTTTTTGTTCAAATTTCAATGGGTTTTGTTTATCCGCTATTCAAATGAAAACAGCAGGATTTTCAAAATCGACATGGCTTAGATAATTTGAATGATAAATACAATTCAAGTTGAGATATATGTGATGAAACAAAAAGAGAATTTGTGGCGAAAATAAATGGGAGAGTCCTTTATATCGGTGGTGATGGATGACTGAAGGCGATATGAAATGCAATCGATTGTGAGAGTATTCGAACAAATGCTGAAATGATGAATTGGTTAAATTCTGAATCTCGTAGACTAGTAGGGAGAACATCGGATTGGTAATAGGAAGGCTTGAAATTGTTATTATTATATTATTGTTCCTTTCGGTTCCTAGTGGAACATAGGGCTTCAATTGCACGTCTGCATTTGCACTTCTGTCTTGCTTCTGCTGTACCCTTCACCTGCATCCGTGTTAGTTCACACTGTTTAAACTCCTCTTCACATGATCCCTTCCATGTCACCCTTACACTGACGATCCACTCGCCACATCCCTTTCGGCCTGGTTCCACTCAAGAAATGGCCTGACGCGCACCCGATGTCACCTAGCGGTGGCCTCCTCAGCGAGTGAGTGTCCGATCCATCTCAATCCACTTTCTCCTGCATATTTGTTGGTTGGCGATTGGTTCTTGTGTTGTTTGCTCCTTCCCATAGTTTCCTGTTGATGATTCTTTCCGGCCCACTCGGCCATCTGATCTTCAGTATAGAGCGAAGACAGTCGTTGATACAGGTAAGGTCTGCAACAGGCTGTTGGAAATATTCTTTGTGACCCGCCCGCCAAGTTTCTGATCCGTATTGAAGAACTGACTGACTTGACTTGTTTGTATTGAAAATCCGACCGAATTCGTTGTTGATACTGGCTGAGTGACAGCGGAAGATTTTCAGATTGGTTTCAGGTTGATGTGAATGTGTTTCTCGCCTTCGCGTTAATCGCTCGATTTGACATCCTCGTCCGTTCCTCCTTCTGTAGTTGAGACAATGCTCCCTCCCTAGATAAGTGAGTGAATGAAGTAACTAGCCTCTTTCAAATATCTCCCGTTGGTGGTGATTGGCGCTGGATGTTGCTGCTGCTGTTGTTGTTGTTGGTTGGTTGGTTATTTTCATAACCTCCGTCTTGTCTATGTTCACGTGGAGTCCTGTCTTCGCCAGCTGCTTCTTCGACCAGTTTGTTGGTCGATTTTCGCTTGTAAGTCTTCGATTTTATGTGACATCAAGCCTAAATCATCCACGCGCAAAATTCAGGTCTTCTAGGTCCCTCATATTGAATTAGGATATCCCTGTCTTCTTGTTTCTGACGCATAATCCAGGCTTGAAATAATGGAGAAGATTTGTAGCTCAAGTGGATGATTTGGTTGAGCTATCTGAGCTGTGTGGTTGATTTGATTATAAAGACTTCGTCGTCTCGATTCTAGACAACATCAATTTAGTGCAGGTTTTAGGATGGAATGAACTTATTTGAATTTTCCATGAATAATGATGTAATTGTATCGCTCTACTGACAACCATTCTCGTGAGGGGTTGTTAATTTACTTCTCTATTGATCATTCTAACTGACTTGCAATTCGACTTCCTTGTGATGTGGCGATCAACGTTTTATTAGATGGTAAATACCGCTTCAACAACACATCTTCAATTTATTGTATTCCTTGCTGTCATCTCTAGCTGGGTTCACGCTTGCCCATCATCTCTCATAGCCTCCTCCTCCTCCTCCTCGCCATACGATCTCCTCCATGTCAACCTCGCACTAATGACCCACCGTCGATTTCTATTGGGATTAAACTCGAAGGCCTGGCGGGCGAGGAAATATCATTAAAGGCCATATTTTAACAGACTGAAATGTAAGAAGGACAAGAGAAATTCTATGACATATAAAATGATGGAGGTTTTTTTCGGTGGTAGCCCACGTTTTAAGCAGGCCGCCACAACAACTGTTAAGTTTTTGATGACAATTAATTATAATAAAGGTTTTTTTGTATTTCCCAATGAATGAAAAACAAAACGATACTGTCGTTGTTTTTACTGACATTTCGCTATTTAATGCCGGTAATAGCTTTATCAAAGTATTATTGAACCGGAATTTACAAAATCTCAGCATATATATAACAAAGAGTTAAGGGGTGAGAAAATAGACTACTTAGGTCAGTTAAAGGGACATATTGAAAGTCAAAATAGCAATGACGATCACTAAACCAAATAGCAAAGGTATTAGTACACCTGTTATGATATCACAACAAGGTTTACTAACTTGATCATCGTTCGTTAGTCTGGGGTCATCTTTCGTTGTCAAGTTGGTCAATCGGTAGAGATAACAAAATCAAATGTAGATTGTTGGATTTGATCACTGTGTAAACTTATAAAAGCAGAGTATATTTATGTAATGAAATTGCTTATCACATTCGTGTTGATTTTATCACTTCATGGGGGAGGAAGGTGTGGTAACCAGATTAGATTCTGTTTAGGTCCATCATTCGTATTCAGACAATTTGGATTTCAAATGAACTGTAGTCAAGATTTGACAGAATAGTTCTATAATATTTGGGCGCCGAGTGAGAGGTAGACATTTGTAAAAAATTATATTTGTAAAATCTCAGCGATATTGAAATGAGTAATTCCAACATTTCGTTCGGAAATCTGGTCCGAACTTCTTCAGGGAAATTAATCGAAATTAACACAACAGGTTTATATATAAAAGGAACTTCTTTTGTTTTTAAAAACTTTGTCCAATCATGATTCATAAAACAAATATTAACAAGTATAATAAACAAAATTGTACGAGTTGTGATCAAAATTTGACCTCTGACTTACAAATATTGATCTACCTTTGTTAAACACTTTAAACACAGTGTGTATGTGTGTGCGAATAAACAGTTGTAAAACAATGTCTTAACGTCTCCATAAGTAGATATAGACAGTCGGGAAACTTTGACCAAGTATTATTAGTTAGTGATACATATCCAAGAATGGATGTTCCTATTATATATAAACCTGTTATGTTAATTTCGATTAATTTCCCTGAAAAAGTTCGGACCAGATTTCCGAAGGAAATGTTGGAATTACTCATTTCAATATCGCTGAGATTTTACAAATATAACTTTTTACAAATTTGAATTTCACTTGATATGAAGTGCTTCTGATGATATTAGACGTTCTTTGTAATTTCTGAAGTTTTTCTGGATGACAATTTCAATGCTGTCAAAATCAATTTTGTGGCCTGATTCTATATCGCGTAGACCACCTATGGCTGATGATTTTTCAAGCCTTTCTAGTTCACTAACTGGAATTCTCGGTGGTCGCAGAGATGCTCTAAGGTGTTTATTTCTTCTGATTTTGATTTCTTTCTGGCGATGTTTGTCTGATGTAGATCGCATCACATTCCAAGCAAGCATTTTATTTTATAGACACAATTAGATAGATAATCTTTAGGGATTTGGTCTTTTATATGCAGAAGGTTGTTTTGTAGCGTGTCTGATCTTTTGAAGAGAACTTCGATTTTGTGTTAATTGAGTACTATTCTGACATCATCTGACATTCTCGCTTAGAATGTCTCGGAGACATTTTAAGCGAGAACGGATATCCAGAGAAGTTCATTAAAGCCAACATAGGTTATAATAGTCGTAAACATGAACTGACAACTGTGGAGAAAAAGCCTTTGTTTTTACGTCTCCAATTTAAGGGAAATACTCCTGCGGAGATTCTATCCTAATGTTTGACCAGGGCGATCAAGAAAACTTTCTACTCTGCATGTCTGTGTCTATCCTTCACTAGCTGTCCAATGTTCACCCGGCAACTCAAAGATGTCTTACCTAACCTTAGCTCTTCTTTATGCATATAGCATTTCAACTGTTCCTGTGGTTCAAGTTATATAGGGAGCACGATTAGGCAGGTTCGTCTACGGGTTCGAGAACACTTATCAGCTTGGTTAAGCAGGGGAAAATTAAGTGCATGAAAAGCTCGATCCTGCCACACCTGGTCGATAATGGATATCGTATCGATGTCAACACAGCTTTCAGGGTTATATTCCGAATCCCGAAGTCGTTATCACGTACAGTTCGCTTACGTCTCCTACACATAGCTGAAGCTGTTGCAATAAGATCGACTAAACCGGAACTGTGTATCCGAAAATAACACGTCCAGACGCTGTTCTTACCGTGGCCAAACTTGGATTGACGATTCTTCTTCTCACCAAGAGTGCTTCTTCCCCTTAACCCTCTTGGTCTTTTTTTCTTTCTACTTTGCTTATTATTATAAATATTATTATTGCAGTTATTATTATTCGTCATAATTTATGCCCTTTATGCGAACATTTCCTCAATACTATCGAATTTTCATTTGTACGGACTTACTATTAGTGATATTATCTGTTTTCTCAATATATGCCTCCATCTGTTTCATTTAATATATTCGTTACCTCACTATGAACCTCTCATTGCAGTCTTAATATCTCCTGTTTAACCCAGACCACTTTGTACTAGCCATTCACCTGACACCTTTTATAACCCACACTCTACACATCTATTATGACGAGTAATCACCACCATTGTCTCCCACTTTACAATATTTTGTAATCGATTTCAACCAACTAGCACGTTTGTCACACAAATATGACTATTTATTTTGACACCCCATAACTAATCTGTTATTCTACGTTAAAAATGTATCCGCCGCATACCTGGCTATCTTTATTGTAACGACCACGAATATAGTCATATTTTATAATTGTAGGAACCTGAAGAGAAATTATTAAAAAGAATATTCTTCGTTCAGATTGACTTTTAATTTACTCTAATTTACATGGACTTATATATATAAAATTTTAACCAATGACGGTGATTTAGTGGATCAAATAATAATAACCATAATAATAATAATAGTAATAGTAATAATAATAATGTGGTAAATGTTTTGAACGAAGTTAATAACGGATTGATATCAGTTAGAGAACCATTGAAAACCAGGGAGTACTGGACAGCTGCTGTTTCATCCTAGTTTGG